TTCCAGCCCATCTTGGCACCTTTGCTCCCCACTTGTGGGGCAAGTGAATGGGAGGTGTTGGGGGGGTCTTATGGGGGGTCGGGGGGTTGCATGTGGAAATAAAATTGGATTGAGCAGCGGAGCTGGGGAGGGGGGGCCGGTCTAATTCCAAACAAACCCTAGTGGAAAACAAATCGATCTGTTCACCGATCAGATTGGATCGGTGTGATCTGGTGTCTTGTAAATGGGGCTGAAACCGTACCCCGACTTTTACATATGGAAAGCGACTTCTTGCACATGTAGCAGTGATTATTTTCCCTGAGGATTTTTAACACACATCGTCTTTATCCTGAATTCTTTTGCAAAGAACTGGCATAGCTTAAACTGATTCCTTCTGTTTTGTAAACAAACTTACAGAGGGAGTAAAATATTAAAGCAAGCCAAAACGAGGTAAATATAGTTTTTAGCATGGTAATTTGAGTAATACCCATTTTAAAGTTTTACAACTTTAATTGAAATGCTGTTCTGTTTTTTTTTTTTAATGGCACTGCTGCTGTCAAAAGATCATGTAAACAGACTCTTATCCTGTAAATATTTGCCCCTATGAATAACTGCAAAAATGACTTGGGGTAGCAAGTCTCAGAGCCCAGTCAGCTGAGTTGGGCTTGCTATAGGGCAAAAAAATAGCATTTTAGGCATTAAGGACAAGTGAGGCTTTAAGACCCTCTACCCTGGCATCTACCCAACGCTCCCACCCAAGCCCAAATGTATACACTGCTCTTTTTTGTCTTCTAGTGTTAGTGTTAGCCCCACAATCCCAACATAGTTCATCCAGGCTCTAAAATGTACTGCCATAACTCTTGTTTGTTTCTTTTAAGTGTACGCCTACTGAACTTAGTGGGTGTATTCACCTGTATAAAGGGCATAACTAAAATGGACCATGCACAAAATAAAGAAATTGATATGGCAATCATTCAAATACATTTGTCAGTTATAGTAATCAAGTGCTACAAATGCTACTTTTAACAATCTGTTTAAAAAATTCAAACAAGTGAAAATTTTAAGTTGGTGGTGATACAAACTAGTAAATACTGAAAACTGAGCAAATACGAAACCAGAATAGGGGCAGAGTTGATTCAGCCCTTAACTTTGAAATTTTAGGCTTTTTCCATTTTGTTGTAATTTAACTTTGTGCATTAGTTTTTCATATATCAGCATGCAAGTTTCAGTAACAGTTTAAATAACACTTGCAAATTAATTTCTCAGTTTAGCATACATATCAAACGTACAAAAGTCACAAGGGAAAAAATGGAGGAGAAAGCATAATGCAATTTAAAGGAATTGTGCCTATGAATAAGGTAGATATATTCTACTTATTGCACATAACTGGTCTGCTACACCTCCTTACAATAAATTGCAATAATGGGGACTAAACTAATCTTTTAAAGCCTTCTTTGGCAATAGGTGCTGAAGGATAATGTGTTTATGTAAACTAACCCTACCATCCGAACATTGATACATATTTTAGGGGATGGGAGAGATCAGAATATCAGGACAACATTTTTGAAAGAGGATTTAATAATTTGCCACTAAGTGGATTTGGTTTTGCTTTCTGTTAAATCAGTAGCAGATTGTTAACTGGACAGTCCACTAATGGATCACAATATAATAAAGCTTATCAGAAAAAAATGACAATGAAAAATTGGAAACTTTGTTTTGCATAAATATTGTTTTCCTACAGACAGTGGCTCTGGTATCAAAAGCTTTATAACAATTAACAGCAATATGCCCCTCTTATCCAGTATGTAGGTTGCAAAGTCTGCAATCTAATGAAAGTGTTTAATTTGTCCTTTCATCATATACCATTTCCACTTAAGTGTCCAAGATGCCGATCGGGGTTGTACTCTCAGAGGCAGAAGGCACAAGGATTGGTCCATGGCAGGGAAGGACATCTAGCCAGCCACCTGCCCTTATGATGGATACATGGGTGCCATGTAGAACCCTGAAGGCTATAAGTGTGATGAGAACCCAAATTGAGGTCCCTGTTTACCTGTCGCTATTTTCCTGTAACCCTTTTGCTCTATTTATTCTTCACACCATGGAAAGATTGGCTGTTCTGATATAATCCTCTTTTCCCCTTCCCATACTTTCTCACAGAAATTAAAAGAAACCAAGTGAACTCCCCAGCTCTGTTAGACCATTGGCACTGTAACTCTGGTTGCAGAACACAATAACCTGCCCCTCTTCCCACTGGAGCTCTGGTGGGGAGGAGGTACCTTCCGACTCCAGTATTACCCAGAACATGGTGCTTGCTGCTTCTGGAGATGTAGGCACTGTCGGTCACTACACATACACTCTGATACCTGCATCAGTTTCTTCTGCTCCCACAGCCATATGAGACTCTATGGCAGTACTTCACCCCTGCTGCAGAGCCTGCATTAAAAACACGGGTGCAGGGCTGGAGGTCCCCTGGAAACTAGACTCATCACTGTAATATCGAGAGTTTGTCTGCACACAGAGTTGTATTGTTTTCCCTTAAGGTGTGCTTTTAAACTGATTTTCATTAAAGCTGCAAAAGAATGAGCAGATAATTAAAATCAGATTTATTTTGGTTTTAAGTTTAGGTAAGTCAATTAGGACCAGGTGTAAGCTAAATCGAAATAAGACACCCTTAAAATAAGTATATCCCCAAAGGGGGTTGTAGAGACTAACAATAGATTTAATTAAATCAATGTAAAGTAATGCATGAACAAACCTTTAGTAACACTGCCCAGGCCCACACAGGTTGCAGAAGGCAGAAAGGAGTATCCTGACATGAACAACAACAAGTCTGAAATTAAAAAATGAAACCCAACAGAGTGCTTGTTAAAAGCAATTATTCCAGTAAGTGACATTCTCCTGGATAGCTGTACTTTCTGCATAAGTGAAGTGGAACACTACCACAGAGAAGGAAAGTAGCCTTGAGGAAAATATATAGGACAATCCTTGGAGGGTGATGATTTCACGTTTCCCCTAAGTGATGTAAGGGTTAATGTACCTATGTATGGTTTCTATCTTTGCAGACCTGCCTGTGAGAAGCTGTGGTTACAGCAGAGGGTCAAGACTTTACCATATAAACAGATTTCTTAGATAAACAGAATTTAAGGCTAAAAGGAACCAAAGAATGACCTAGTCAGACCTGTTATTTACCATAGGCACTGAATTTAACACACCATTGAATTGAACCAATAACTTGTTCAAAAAGCTAGCATTTTGTTAAGTATATCCTTGGGGAAGGTATCCTAACTTGATTGAAAACATCAAGAATTGGACCATCAATACCTTCTCTAGCTAATTGTTTCTAGTAAAAGCGGCGAGGAGTCCTGTGGCACCTTATAGACTAACCGAAGTGTTGGAGCATAAGCTTTCGTGGGCAAAGACCCACTTCGTCAGATGCATGTAGTGGAAATTTCCAGAGGGAGGTATAAATATGCAGGCCATAGCCTAAGTATATTACATCTAGGCAGTTCCCTTAATCAACTAAACTTGTAATCTCATCAAAGAATGCAATCCCGTTTGTTTAACTAGACTCATTTTTGATAAGACAATGTTGACTGGAATTAATTATATTCCTATTTATCAATTGAATGTTGTATTTGCTTTTTCATAGTTTGATGCAGAATTGAGGTTAGCTAACTTGATCTACAGTTACCCAGGTCACCTCACTTGCCTCTTTTGAATATAAGCACAATATTAGCACTTTTCCAATCTTCTGGAATTTCCCCAGTATTTATTAAAAATTAACAATTCCAGTGGGCCAGACATCTGT